TCAGCAGTGAACCTCATGTCTACTACCTGCATAAAACCTAAGAGACCCGGGGGCGGGGGGTGTCCAGGAGCCTGACCCTCTCCTACCCACCCAGCTCAGATTCTGCAAAGGAACCACCCCAAACCCACATGAACACAGTGACCTGGGAAGGAGGCAGGTAATGGCAGGTGATGGGATGGCAGAGGCCGGCTGGGCCTGAGCTATCCTGAGCTAGAGGCTGGAGAGCTTCAAGGCAAGGAGCAGATGCATGGGGTCCCCTCGTGCGAGTATGTCTTCTTGCTGTGTCCATGCGTGAGTGACCCCTTGGCTGTTATAGCCACCCTGGTCCTGTAGACCCTGTCCCGAGGTCTCCTGGCTCTGAGATGTCTGAGGCTACCCCACTTGTCACTGTTGACTCGTTTTCTCTGCCTGTAGAATTTCTTCCTTATCTTTCTTCCTTTGAAGCTGGATCACCAAACCAGGCCACATTCAGTGTTGTCTTTCCTGAACCCACACTTCCCGGTACATGGAGGGCTGCCCTTCCTTCGCTGCAGGGAAATTCTCCAGACTCCGTCCCACGCATGAGGCTCCTTGCTGTGTGAACCTGTCTGTCCTCCACGCACGTCGTCTTTGCCCTCAACCCCATAAAACCCTGTTTTTCCCTCTGCAATATCTACGATGATCTTATACTGAAGGTCTCGGTCCTGGTCCCCTAATGAAATAATGCACCTGGGCAATGGTTATCACTGGGTCAATGGCTGCTAGAGCCGTGAAGTGAGGGTGGACAGGAGGCTTGATCGTGGATGGATCAGTCCGAACCCACTGATCAACCTTAAGCCCATGGGAAGAGAACAAGCAGACACTGTACCCCCCTTAGGGTGAAGCCCACGCTTCCAACCCGAGTTCCATCGAGCCCGCCGAGCTGCACTGGCTCAGACAAGCCACTGGCCGCATAAGGCTACTTCAAGTCAAGTTAATTGAATTAAATACTGGGTTCCTCAATCTCACTAACCACGTTTACGTGCTCCCCTCCCCCACCGAGCTCAGACAGTCGAGATGAAATAAACACATGAACATCTGACTGAATTTCAGGCAGAAGCCCAATCTGCGAGCTTCTGCCCAAACCCTCTGCTTATTTTTCACTTCGCTTCCTTTGTTCCAGGGTCAAGAGACACAGAGATTATCTAGGACACCTGAGCACACCCGCGGCTGGGGTGACCGCCAACAGCCCTCAGACGTTTCCGTGGCCAACTGTCCCCTGGCACCACGCTGCATGTGCTGGCTGAGTGGGGCAGGGCAGCGGCTGCAGTGCAGGCGGGAGAGGGCTTCAGTTGTGGCTGACCAGGACCACAGAATGATTAGGTGCCACTGTGTCTAGGGAACAAGAGATGAAGAAAGGGAATCTGTAGAATCTGGAGTGGTCGAGAAATCTTCCCAAGAAAAGGTGAAAAGTGGGAAGAAGGGGGCCTCCTGGGCAGGGTGCAGGATGCAGGCCCGAGGGGAGACCACACGACAGAAAGGCCAGGTCAATCAAGGCCGGGTCAGGTTACATCCGACGAAGCTCACAGCTCAGGTGGAGACAGCTCTGCGTGTGGGAACAAGTAGCAAAGGGTAGTCCCCACCAGGCCCTCACTGTTCTGTAATGTGCTTTTCACAGTCTTCTCTCACCTCATCACACGAGAAACAAATCTTATCTCCTCGACCGCATCAGTGAGAGAGGAAACTTCCAAAACCCTGACCACATGAACAGACGGCACCCAGCGTGGGCCGTGGTGGACAAGCGCCAGGTCCGCTCACCTTGTCCACGTGCGCGTGCCAGTACTCGTCATGCGCCGTGCGGGCCGCCGTGCTGTTGATGCGGGAGAAGAAGGTGGGCTTCGTCAGGTGCAGCAAGGACGCACTGATGCCAAACGCCTGGGCGACTGCCGGCTGCACCTTCTGCCGCAGGTCCCTGCCCAGAGGACACAGGCGTCCGCCACACAGGAGAGAATTCTCCCCGGGCCCATCGGGCCTGCACCGTGTGACACTGAAACGGAGCAGGACACTCTGGTCCTTGCCTCCAGCCCCCCTGTTCTCAGCCTGCCTTTTGTCTGTGGAAACACTTTAGCCAAAGAATAAGTTTAATCAGAGAAGTGAGAAAATGCAGAAACAAAGGAAAACAGTCAAACGAGACCAAATAATAATAGTTTAGTCATTAAGCATAGTCAAGGACCTTTAGTTCCTCCTTAAGGGCTATAGATAATATTCTGAGCCATATCCTGTGAGGTGTTTTGCAGATGCTGAAGCCCCCACCAGGTGGAGGAGGATGACTACATGATGACCAAACTGAAGCCATGACATAAGCTGCTCCACTTCACACATTTCCGAGAACCGGCCTCAGAGAAATGGGAACAAACCCTGGAACTAAAGATTAACTGTACTTAAAACCACCAAGGTGACAATGATCAGACCACATTACTGGTTTCAAGATGACTGTCAGAACTGACTATGCTGTTCTGCTCCCTCTCTCTGCCTATATAACCCTGAAACTCCCCTTTAAGAGCCCCTGTCCCCTAAGCAGCAATCAGGAGTTGGTTCTCGGACAGGAGTCCACCCTCTCCCCCGGGTGCTGGCCTCTGAAATAAAGCAACATTTCCTTCCCCACCAACACTTGTCTCTCAAGAATTGGCTTTCGAGCAGCAAGCAGCTGGACCTGGGTTCGGTAACACTACAGAAAGACAAGGGCTGGCAAAGGTGAAAGGTGAATAGATGCACACACAGGTCCGCACACGTGGGACAGGGTATCACGTGCACGCCCAGGAACCTGAGGGCCAGTTCTCTGCAGGACTGACCCCAGCACTCCCAGCCCCGCCGCCACCTTCCCCGCTCCTGACCTGGGCATTCCTTCCCTCACCGGTACAACTGGAAGTCCTCTTCTGAGAAGACAGTTTGTATTTTATCCCCAAAGTATCTGTGAAAAAACGAGTATTGACAAATGTGATGTTTTATTAATGTTTCCTTATTTCCTTTAAATTCAGCCTTTCCTCCAGTTGACCAGCAAGTCCCTGAAAACCAGCTGGTCCTTATTATCTTGGAGCTGCTGCTTCTACAATGATAACTGTGTGATAAAAGGGAGAAGGGTGGGAGGGAGGGACCTGGCAGGTCGGGTGACATTTACCAAGGTTGGGGGAATCTCTTGCTTCTCCTGGCCCTTGGGGAGGATCAAAGCCTCTCAGGAGGCAGCTCCCAGGAGCCTGGCCTGCCACTCACCTCTCCCACCTCTCCCTCCAACCCCACGCCTTGGTCCATTCCTAACTAAGCTGTTCCCTGAAGCTAGCTGGCAAGGATCCCGCC